AAGCCATTCATTTTCCGCTGCTTATCCAATCACAGTGGCTGCTAGAGCCTAAAAGATCTAAACATACATGTTCACTTTTCCTTTATTCAACCTCAAATCAATTCAGATTATTCTGTGAGTAAATGTGAAACTGAATGGAAATGCCTGAAAATGCAAAATTACACCAGCAACGTCTTTTTCACTGTCTGATCACATTTAGCTCAGAAATCGATAACTGTGGACGTCTGGTGTTTGGTAGGGCTGCTCAGAGACACAATAATGTCCGCCTTTCTGCAATTCAAAAACCCTCCAAATCACAGAGGACTCTCGAATATGTGATTACATAAAAATTTTACCGATGAACTCTGTCGAGCAAAAATAAGCACAGACCGATGGCGTCTGCCCGCTGCTTGTCTCTCAGCCTCTGTTGCATTCACATCTTTCACAGGCTAAAGTGCTTCAGTCATTCATGAAAATTGCTGGAGCGAGATGCGAGGGAGAGGAAGGAAAGTGGGAGGTGGGAGCTGCGACCAAAAAAAAAGAAGCTCTCTCACTACCCTCCATTCATTATTCTTCCATTGTGTATCTCACTGTATGCATTTTCTGTCCTCTGTCATCCTCATTACTTCTCCACCTTTCCCTCCATCTTTTTGTCACTGCTACTTGTAATTCTTCTTTTTTTTTGGGGGGGGGGGGACTAGGGAGGAGGAAGAGTGGTGAGTTACCATGGCAACAGCAAGCTGGCTGAGAGCTACCTGTTCTCTGGCATAGGAGGAGGAGGAGGAGGAGGAGGAGGGAAGAAAGCAAGAGACGGAGTGTAAAAGAGACAGAGGGATGGTGACAAGTTGGATAAGTCTGACGATATCTTATTTTTTTCTCATTTTATCCAAATCTGATAACAAGACCAAAACAAATCAGTGAGAAGCCCTGAGAACAGCTGTTTTACATGCATCCAAATGGCCTTTTCTGACTTATTCTGTTGTGTAGTTGAGCTTCATTTGCGTCTAAAACAAATAACTGGGCCGCACCTTTGGACAGGGTGACACCATAATTCATTACCGCTAATGAGAGCACAGCAGTTTATGTGGCTCAACCCGAAATACACTACAAAAAATGTGTATGCATACTCTGCAAAAATTAGTACCCAAGAAGCATGCTATTTACCCCTGTTGAGGCACTGCTTGCTAAACCTGATCCTGTTCATTTAATGAAACCACAGACAGGCTTGATGGAAGGAAAAGAAGGAAAACAGAAGGAGAAACGTCAGTCTTATACTCAAAGTTCTTTGCTCTTCCTCTCGGTGTGAAGGAAGTGAATACCCACCAAGTACAACGCCACAGGCATGCATCATTATACCTGACCTTCTCCTCCTCTACACAGTGGGTGAGGTGAGGTGGGTGAGGAGAAATGGAGAAAGAGATATTTAACTATAGATGGATATGCGCAAGAAGGAGGAGAGAGGCATCCAGTGACGAAGCAGTTGCTATGCCAAAAAACCAGGAGGACCACACATGCATGCAAAGACACATACACACACACAAACGTAGGGAAAGTAAACAAGGAGGAGGCTGAGTGGAAGCAGGAGTGTCAGAACGATGTTGCTGAGGGTGACCACAGCATACTAACAGCTCTGACAGCACACACACACACACAGGCAATGCACACAAGCAGAGCTGACTGCCAGAGATGGGTGAGCGCGATAGAGAATGTGATCATAGGAAGAAAATGTCCTCGATGTCAAGTCTTGTTTCTGCAGCATTTTCTCCCTCAAAGCTACAGGGAATCTGTCCACATCGTGCAGCGTCACCTGAGTTGTGGCTTCTGGCATTAACATGCGAGCTGATGCTGAAGCTTTCCCAGTGTTTTTAATAACACTCTGCATCTGTTCTCTTCTCAAATCACTCCCAATTATTTCTTCATGACCTAAAGAGAATTTAATAAGGGGCTGGGGGTGAAACGTCTTCACCCGGTGATCTTATGCCACGGATTCTCTCGGCGCTTCACCGGAAGACTTCACCTGAAAACGTTTCCTTACACCTGTGTTATGAAATGGCTTTGTCTATGCCAGTCTCATGAGTCAAGGAATCAAGTTTAATGTGTGGACTGGATGTGGTGCAATTACATTTCCAAAAGGTGACTGATGTTTCCCATGCTGAGCACCTTACATCAGCTGTAGGAACACAACAAGCTTTTAACTCTGAATTATCGAAAGAGCAAGCCCGGCATGAGGCACACACACGGTGCTGTGCAAAACTCTCAAACCACTCCTGATTTCTTGAAAATCTTTTGTTCCCAAGCAGCCAGAGTGTCAAGATCCTGGGTCACTGAGTTTTTAGACTTTACAGTTTGGTTTTATTTTTAACATCTTCCAGTGATTCTTAGTTTGTGCTGTTATTTGCCTTGAGTTTTCCTTTTCCCTATTTCTCACTAATATTTTTGGTATATTGCTCTTTATGTATTTTCTCAGTTAGTTAATACATGTCTGTGTTTTCATGTTTAGTCATCTCATTTCACTTCCTGTCTTATTTTGGCCATTATTTGTCCTCTGTGCCTGATGTTCAGTTTTACTTCCCCTCGTCTTGTTTCCTTGATTGTCTGCTCCTGTGTTGTTCCCCTCAGGTGTGATCACGTACTTGTGTAGCTTCAGTTTTCCCTTTTTCTTTGTTGGTGGGTTATTTAATTCTGTTTCCCATCAGTTTGTTTTCCTGCTTTTCCCTGGACTCCCAGGCTTGCCATTATCACCTGTTGGACTCTTTTGGACTGTAGCACATGACTGGTCTGTATTTGGGAGTCCACTGCCACACTCTTCAACATCATAAAGACTGTCTTGTAATTTTTTTTTAAAGTTGTCCTGAGCAATAGTTTTCCAGGACTAAAACGATCTATAGCAGATAAACAGTATCTGGAAGTTTTGTCCTTAAGAAATGGGAAAAAGATCCAGTAAAGACCTGCCACAGGAGCTGGGAGATTTATCTGGTCTTTCAGCTGATCACTGGACCCTCATCAGAAATGGTCTCAGTTGAAGGGTGGCTGTCAAGAAACCATTTTTAAGGAAGGGAAACATGGAGAAAAGACTGAGGTAAGAAAATTACACAAGAACTGGACTTGTGTAATTTCATTGACAACAAATCTTATGGAGTGATGCAATCCATATTTAAAACTTTTACTTTCAATTATCGTCTGTATGCATGGAGCAGGTCAGGAGAGAGGTGCAACAGCGAGAGTCTGCAGCCATGTATAAAACATGGTGGAGGCTCTGTCATGGTTGCATTTCAGCCAGTCGTGTTGGAGAGGTTGTCATAACTAATTGAATTATGAATGCTGTCATGGACTCGTCTCCCCTTTTTAGATGGTTTGGACATGTGCAAAGGAGAGATAGTGGGTATCCTGGACAAAGCATGTTGAGTATGGAGTAGCCATTTGGAAAAATACAGATGACCAGAGAGGAGGGGTAGGGTGAGATGGAGGAATATGATCCACTGTGGCAAGACAAGACACTATGAGGACTGTCAAAGACGACCATGCACCATGTGGAAGAGGTATCTGCCAAATTTGTTGAGCAAGATTAATATTAGCACTGTTTTTCAGCCTGGAGCTTCTTCTTTGGAGGAAGACAAGATTGTGTTGCTTTTCCAGCACGCATTTAATACACAACCACAAAGAAGCTAAAGCCAAATTGGACTGATGTGACCTCCAAAGGGATGAAAATTCAGATTTACCGCATGTTGTAGCTTTCCTTGAGTCTGATTTGCCATGACTCTCACTTTTACAGCTGTCACACAACTCCTTCGAGAACAGCACAGGTGACAGTGAAGGCCCTCACAAAGCCAGGACTCTAAAACCAACAGCGTTGTTGTTTTACTGCTCACAGAAACCATCTTTATTTGGAGATAAAATCATTTCTATTCTCAACATGACAGGAGCCATCTGAAAGCTGCCAAATGATCATTCATTTCCAATAGAATCTCATATTCAGGCTTAATCTATTTAATTTTGAATTATTTTTCAGTGAAATTTCATATTGAAGCCATAAATTCTAATAAATGCGAAAAAGGCTCAAAGGCACCTGGCTGCACCAATCAACAAGCATCTCGGCACATCTCTCATCAGCCCAGATAATTAACCTCAGTCTAACCCCTCTACTCAATAAGCATCTGACATCTTCGACAAGGCTCCAACTAATGGCATTTTCCATTATTATATGAATATTTGACTAACAGGTATGCTTAGCGGTGTCTATCTTCCATCTATGGCTCAAAGTTGAGTTTTCGAGTTGGCTAAATGACAACCAGAACCCCAAAGATGCTCAAGGCTCACATTTGAGAAGTTGAAACTAAAGTATGTTTGCCTTTTTTTTTTTTTTTTAAATGAATGACCCAAACTCTGCTGATTATGAATCACGAATCACTTGAGCGCTTCTTTAAAATGAGCACAACTTGAGCTGTTGACCATCTCACAGCTGGACTGGAAACATTACCACTCATTCACAGACTGGATGCCAATCGTCTCTGTGTTTACACGTACCCATTAAAACACAGCAAACTCTTTTTACTTTGATGGCTCGGGATCACTCTGGTCCAGCCAATGAAACATTCATGTGTTCCCTCAGAGGTACTGTAGCTGTGCCAGTCCAAAAACTTCTAAGAAAGATCAAGGAAGTATCACACTTTCTATGCTGACTTTGTCCGCAATTTCCATGCAGCACTACCTCTGTAATGCTGTCGCCATGAAAACATCCTGGAGGCTCAGCTGACTCAGATGCATGTGTCAGAGTAATGACTTTCAATCAGTTGCATACACTCACCTTTCCTGTCAGTTCACCACAGTGTTGTTGAGAAACACAGCAAGAAATAGACTTCAGAAATTCTCCCATTGCCTTATAAGTGCACCTTCACATTGCAGTTTCAACAAAATTCTTAATTTGTAAATTTATTTGGTCATTTAAGACTGCATCAAATATACTGACAGCATTAGCAATTGTTACCACACCTGATCTTAGACTATTTTGGGCATTTTTGTACCTGTGACGTCGAGTGGTAAGAAGTGTGCCGGTGTGCGTCTTCCCAGTTGCCAGCGAGGTTTTTCGGCGACTGGCGGTCCAGTAGTGGCCGACGTGGCAGTACTGCTGCTACTGTTGTTACTGCTCCAGCCTAGAGGGGGCCGGTCTGAGCTGCAGGGGGATGGAGACGGGGATGGAGATAGGTCGGTAACAGACCTCAGACCAAACACAGAGGAGGTGGTTTCATCTTCGTAGAGCTGCTTTGATGCTGGCTGCAAGAAGAAGCAGAAAGGGAAAACCGCTATGTCATCAAATAGTGATGCACAGTTTGATATACTGAAGTCGAGAATGGTTGAAAGGGTCTGATTTCCCCAGGAAGATATATATAACCTTTTAGAAAGTACTGTTGAAAGTATTTTTACGTCTTGATTTCTTAGTTTTTTACATATTTGACACTTTAAAAAGCCCTTTTACCCAATCTCTTTCTTATTTTTGAATCATGAACTTCTTTAGATGTTGTTCTGGGTTCATTTGTGACCTCCTGGATGAGTCGTCCATGTTCTTTTGGAGTGATTTTGGCAGAATTATCACTTATTTTTAGTTGGGTTATGTTTGTTTAGCATTAAAACATGCCATATAGGTGTTAAACCTTGGTTATTTGGATGGACATGTGCAGATGAAAGATCAGTATTTGATCAAAATTGTTCTGACAGCTGGAAAGAAAGCGATTGCAAGAACTGCTGTTCTATGATTTAGCTTCATGTTCAAACTAAATAATAAAAAGCTATTTAAAAAATAAAACATGCCACATAACATGGAAAAAAACAAAGAAATCAGAAAGGGGGCAAATACTCTTTTTTTAGTACTGTAAATATAAATATGGAGCCGGCATATTTATTTATTCATCCATTTATTAACCACTTGTTACTGGTTCTCATAATCACCTTGATGAACAGTAGGGCTGTATCTACTGTGGAATTATGGGCTGAAAAAAATCGTATATGATATTACATCCAGTACCAGTCAAAATGCTGGACATGTTCAAATTACATCACACTACCTTCGAACAGTTAGTCACTATAAGCTGACGTAATGAAATAGATAAATGCAACTGTGAGTAGATGTCACATCATTTGGCAATAAGCTTACATCAGTCAACAATGCCAATATGTTCAGACACTATATTTGTGCATCCTTCATAAATGACCGTTAGCTTTTACATTTACACGTCCAGGAGTTAAAGTGAAATAGATATGTATTCATTTGGAGGTGTGAAATTAAAGTCTCATAAACTTGTTTTTACTCTGTTTGGTCGAGCAACCTGACAACATGTTACTAGGCAAGTAGTGTAAAGTTGACCTGTTCATTACATGATGAACTTTGTATGAATCCCAGCTCAAAATAATCCTTATTTGTCACGAGGTGTGACTGGGTGTAGCTCTTCAGCTCATCCATTGTTTTAGGCCAACTTTATTCTGATTGGTTGCCTCTGTTTAATGGAAGGCTTGAATACATGGCTAAATAATGGTTACTCATCTTCATACAAATTGAATGTTGGAGGCTAAAGGCTTTACTTTTTAATAAAAACAAAACAAAACATGAGTGTTTCTCATGTAGATTCTGCACTCAGTGAGATTATTTGAAAAATGTTTCAGGCTACCTACAGAGTAAAAGAAAATCTAACATGCTGCTTGAAATCCAAATAATTTTAGTCAGTTTCTTTAGTGAAATCCAAAATATTGTCTTCCCCTTCAGTCATGGTAATGCATCCTGAGATCCAATGGTTCAAATCTAATTTCCTCACTACAAGATCTCCATTTCTCTCATATTGTACTACACTCTCAAACTCTTTAAAAGTTATTGTTCTCATTTTCTGCCCAAGCTGTTTTGAAAATTAGCCAATAAAGCCCTTTCCCCCTTTAAACTGCTGTTACTGGCTCAAACACACAAGAAAAACAAAATAACCTCAGAATTCAATTTGCAGTAAAAATCAATAGAACCAAAATCCTATAGGAGTCCAGACAGCCGGCGGAGGTCATCTACTCATCAACCTCCTCCAAAATTAAATGTTTTGTCCCCTTTAAGCAACTTCAATGCCTGTAAGAGGAAGGATCAGTAGGGTAGATAAGCAGACAGCAGGGTCACAAAACAGAGAACGAGAGAAAATGCTGTCTCATTTTCACCTGTCTCATAAAACTGAGAGAGCTAATGCAGAGGAGCGACAGAAGTGAATCTGAAGTGAGTTAGAAACATAAAAAAACAAACATTGATTTGACGTGATTAGCTGACAGGGACGGAAACTGACAGAGCAGCAGAGACACTGTTCGTTCTGTCCCTGATGGCAACAGGAAGGTGCAATCCCAGCTGTGAGGGAACGGGCATCTGTCAACTGTCTGCCATTAGATCTACAGTATCAGGCATCTCTGCCCTTAAGCAAGGCAATGAAACTGTCGAGGCTGCTGCAATGCAGGAAACACTCCAGTCTATCCTCCGCCTCGTGAGAGACGTAAAGCTATCTCGTGGGAATCTGCCATTCTCTAATTGAAATTAGCCCAAACAGAGAGAAAGGCATTAAGTTAAGAGCGCTCTTTAGCAGCTCGCTGAAGGAATATTGCGTCAGTCGGTGTGCAGGAAATGCGCAGCCATCTTGCAGTAAAATCACGGTGGGAGTTCAATGAGCTGGGGAAATAGACTGAGAAGTACTAATGGAAAAGGGAAAGAGTGAAAAGAGAGAGGCTCTATGTATAGCTGTAGCCTGTTTGACAAATTGTGATCATAGATTATCATTGAGACACCCTGAAGCAATTTAACATCTATGTTTGCATTCCTTTTCTCGCCTTCAAAAATCAGTCAGTAAGTCCTCAATGTGCAGGCGCCGGCTGACAAGAAAGCACTTACGTCACATGCTATTTTGATTTCTTAGCGAGTGCTAATGATACTTCCATCTGGAAGACACTAAATGGTTTGGCATTTGTTTGTAGAAACCTGCTGAGAGTGTGAAAAGGACGATGACTAATCCTGAGAAATCTGAATGAGGGGGCGGGATATACTGTGCAACAGTTCTCGGATAATTCGGCTTCATGGGAAAAAAATAAAGGGATGATGACAACAGCAGTGAAGCATTTTGTCACAACACAACTTTTAGCTGTAAAACCGTCTGATATGCCGAAGCAGTAATTTGTTGGAATAGTGCATTGTGTCGCCGATTTGCTGAATTAAGCTGTCCAACAGAAGACATGCTCATTCCGAACTTCAAGTTACAATTATTAATAGAAAAGGATGGAGTCTTTATTATCAGTCCTCATTGAGCGGAGCAAATCTGCATCAGTGATCAGTCAAGTACAAACAACGCGCAGAAGTTCAAATAATACAGACACAATACACACACAAGCACAGACATGTAAATGTGAACAGAGACACAGCAATTAGAAGATGCCAAACGCAGACTGAGTTTCCATTTGGCATGTCATACTATAACAAAAAGAGAAATTAAAGACTTTTAGGAGCCTTAATGCCACTAATGGCTAAAACATAAAAACGGGATGGCAACCTATGTTCAACTAGGAAAAACTAGTAGTTGTTCAGGAACTGCATTGAATTTTTTGTTGCCAGTGAATGATTGCAAGCATTTGCGACAGTGGCTGTCAGCCCGTGGGCACACCCTGATTCCAATCAGTCACAACCTTGGAAAGAGTTTCATCCCATCCAAAGGTGACGATACAACCAATCATTTGCCAGATAGTTAGGAGACCTGCTGTATACAGTATACTGTATACAACAGGTCGAAATATCAGCTACCAAGTTGCGTCAATGACTTGTGTGGACATTCAGGACAACTGTGTAGATCCATAAGAGAAATTTGGTCAACGTGACAAATTTTGTTGGACAAATCTATTCTATAAGTACGTCTTGCTGATACTATGTCTACTATGTCTTCTCTACAGCAAAGCTTCTGCATGAAGCTCAGTACAGGACTGGCCTATTGCTTCTTTAGCTAATAACGTTAATCATTTTATTACGCTACCATGTATCTTCCATCTAAGGCCCGCAGACTGTATAAAAGATGGATATAGCTGCTGTGAACTTTTAGTTTTTGAGGTCCTACTATGAAGAAGTTGTTATTTTTCTGTTTGAATGTTGAGGGTTCGGGATCATTTACCCACAAGTCTCTAAAAAACCAGGAGCTTTTTACAAGCAAAGGTATCACCCCTGCTGGTGAGAAGAAGACTGCATTGGCTTCCCATTTCACATTCAGAAACTACAATATTTATACTGCCTTTGCTTGGGTCATTGGCCTTATTATGGATCTTACTCAGATAGGAACTGTCAAAATTTGACACTCCCTTAGCAGGACAATACTACAGAAGAACATGACAAAAAGGCTCCCAGTCTGATCAAGCATGCACAGATGTGCTGTCTGATGAATGGAGGCTCTATCCTGCAACCCAAAGGACATAAAGACTCCACTGCCAAAGTACTGGTGCAGGCTCAGAACACCACCAGAGGTGCCACGTCCATACCCCAGCAGCTAGCTGTTTTGGCAGCATGAAGAAAAACCTACACACACTTATGTAGGTGGTTTTAACGTTGTGGCTAATCTGCACATCTCAGATCTTGCACCACAAAGCTAACTCCCAGAGCAACAACAAAAGGTCCTGCATAAAAAGCACAACCCCAGAAAGAAAAAACAATAAACTAAATAAAAAGCTGTTGCTAGAAAAACGCTCACCATTTTCATATTTTGAAAAAATCTTGAGGATTACAATTTTATTTATAGCCGCACTCTCAAGGTCGATAAATCAAATTAAAATGATGATTCCAGTGAGCATGAAATGGCAAGATACACAAGATTTAATCAAAGGAATGGGCTTTTGTGGGATATTGTATCGAGGATGATCGAAAAATAATGAAATGGAGAAAAGAGATAGATTTATACTGCCTATAATTTTATTGTAAAGGGGGAAGAGCCTTTAAAATGAGGCAGGTAACATAAAATGAATATCAAGCACTGATTGGAAACAATAAAGAAATAATAAAGAGTGCAAACAGGACCACAAAAGGGCAGATGGAGTCGGGTGGAGTAGGTTAGCAGGAGTTTAGCGGGAATGTGAAGTCTGGTGTCTTGCTGTTCTGAGAGAAAAACGAAGATGATAAGTGAAGTGGACACAGTGTATGTGTGTGTGTGTCTGTGTGTGTGCATTTAGCAGAAGCAGGATGAAGTCAGGTTTCACAGGTTTAAGAGGTGGAAAAAAGAGCGAGTTTAAAATAGGAAAGGTGGAGATTATTTATTGCGTTTGCTTGTTAAAGATGTGCAGCTTCAAATAGCTGCATATAAAATCTGAGCTTGGGTGTTTGTTCAGCAGAGAGGTGACATTTTGGTGTGACGGAGCCTCCTGATCAAATAAGATGGGTGTAAACATGAGCCTGCATGCGTGCGTCTGTGTGTGTTTACCAGAAAGATGAAGTCGGGCCTCTTGTTGTTGAGGGAGATGGGCGATCGGCTGAGGGAGGTGGACGTGTCGTCGGAGCTCTGTGAGGACGGATGCCGGAAAGTCTGACCGGTCAGCTTGGTGTCGTACAACTGCTCCTCAAACTCTGAAAACACAGAAGAGCAAAAATAACAAAAAGATATAAATGCATGCATAAACTTGCTTTCTGCTGCATGCATGCATGCATGCAACTAAACTAAATCTTATTTGCATGGTTGAAAGTGGAGATCAGGAACGGCTGCAGCTTTGCATCAACCTGCAATCTCCCTCCTGTGACTCCTGGTTCAACTTGTGCCTTAAATGACTCCTTCAGTTTGTATTTAATCCTCCCAAGGGCTCCATCCCTTCCTCTTCTTTCATTTATTCCTTCTCCAAAACTCTCTTTCTTTGTGTTACACGCACTCTCGCGCAGTCTACCTCCAAATATCAGACTGATTCTCCCTCTCCGGCAGCTCCCTCAGGCCATTGTAAACAGATTCCTAACCCCCACCTCCCCCCTTTTTCTCTTGGTGCACACACCAACAACACCAACAACACACACACACACACACACACACACACACACACACACACACACACACACACACAACACCACACACCACGCTCCCGCTTCAGCCTCATTCCTTTACCCCCAAACACACTCCCCCATTTCACTCAGCTCAACACACACACAGACACACACCCCCACAGACACTGAGCAGCTTTAGAGAAACAGCAGTGTCAGTGAGGTGAAAAAAGCTTGGAGTTGAACTTCCCGGAACAATATGGATTCCTTCCTGGTGATGTATGGTTGCCTAGCAATATAAGGAAGCAGATGACAACAAGCTAGAAAGAATAAATGGTGAAATATTTGTCTCAAGAATGAATGTTGTGTATAAGATAAATAAACTAAGGTTTAAATTGGGAGAAACAAAGTTGTTTTCAGGATTTCAGGCTCTTTATGAAAGATGTTAGCCTCAGTTACGAAGATCAAAAGACCGGTCATTCATCTCTGATCGCGAGGGCAAAGTGTGTATCCCCGGTTGATGACTTCTCCAAAACGTCACCTTTAAAGCAATAGCTGTGCATTACCAGCATATTTCAAAAGTCTGAACTTTTGCACTGTGGTGAATGATCACTTCTTCCAGTTTACATTGTGCATTTCACAACTATTTTGCAATCTTTTACAGGCAAGTGATCAAAACAATTGCTAGAAGGTTTTGGGTGCAGCACTCTATACCTGTTTGTTCTACCAGTTTCACCTAGCAGTTGCCATCAACCGCAAGCAACCACTTCACAACTGGTCATGGAATACACACTTTTCCCCAGAGGCCTATGGTGGCCAGCTCGCCGACCAGTCTCTACACCTGTGCGACCACATTTAGACATATGGCGAGCTAGCTGGGTGAGCAAGATGAATTGATAGACCGATCCAGATCTGTACGTTATATGGACAAACTCAGATCAGTCATAAGTGGCATTATTGTAAAGTCGATGTGTTTAGAAACCACAGCAACTGCTGGGGCGCATAGTGTGTAAAAGTCACCAACACTCTCCTCACTCCATAACTGCAGAGCTTCTCTGCCATTAACATCTGCACAAAATCTGCACCAGGAGCTTGATGGCATTGATTTCCATGGCCAAGTAGCTCCAGTAGGTGCAACATGTAGGAAGATCAGTCTACTCATTTGTGCTGAGTAATAACAAAAACTAAGCACAAACTTCTTGTATATTTTGTACGATTCAATACAAATTAGTCAGTAAAATGTACAGTTGTAATCAAAGAACAATAAAAGCTATGAAGGCCTGAACTATTGTTTGTTTCAGCCTATAAATGTTAATTTCTACTGTAAAGTTGGACATTTTTTCTTCTAAGAAGCACAAATTATGTCTTGGCTCAACCCCTAAAGTCTAAACTTTCATCCGTCAGCTCAGTGTCTTGAATTTGAAGGCTCACAACTTTTAGTTTCTGTTCCACTCTCATCAGCACTTCCAATTGCAAAAGGCAGCTGTTTCCCAGCACCAAACAGCAGACAAATTAGCATCTAATTAGCAAAGTTTTTAACAAGACTAATACCACTGTATAAGAAAATAGAAGGAATTGAGGCTTTTTAAATTATCATTGTTTGTGTGGAATATCCTGAGTGTCCTCAGGCTGCTTATCTACCTCCATCTAAATAGTCTTCCATATGGTAAAGTAGTAGACCTTGCAGGGTGATGGGATCCGTTTTTATGACTTTCTAATGGCTGCTGCACAACTTTCATGCCTGGTAAACTCATTTAAACACGCGAGCGGTTCACCGTAAAGTTTAGCAGGTGTCAGATTTAAGTGAGCGCCGCAACGTGGGAGTGTTTGGAGTCGGGAATATAGAGTTGTGAATAGAAATTAATATAAAGCAGCACAACCACAAAACACAAGAAAGATAATGATGTGTTTTTGTGCGAGGGTAGGCAGTCCACCCACAGATTTAGTGCAGTTTTTTAATGGCATTTGGGATCATTGATGTTGACATCTTCCTTCTGCTGGAATAAAAAGTGCCAGCAGCAGAAAACTGTGTATGATCTCACTTATTCTAAGTGCAATTATGGCTCTAAACATCAGAGGAAACGACACACACACACACACACACACACACACACAGCAAACATTTATAACCTTCAGCGTGGATTAAGATGATGCAGTAATGTATGTCAGCTGTCATTTTAAGCTCAGATAAAGGAGTACTTTGAAAGTTACTCTGATGAGTTTGAAGGGCTTTATAAACTCAAAGATAGTAGATATTATTTCAACTGAAGTGAAACCATCACAATGAAAAACTGCAGAAACAAGGCTTCTGCGAGATCAGACTCATGAGTGTGACACTGAACACATTTTCCAACATATGCTGTCAATTATTCTCTTTTATCGTACGCGGGAAATCTTTCAAAAGGGAAGCAATTGGGAAAAATGAGAGACTGGAGAACTAAGAAGAGAGAAAAGAGAACAGGAAAATGCTCAGGAATGATAAAAGCTGCTTAGGTGGCTGAGAAGCTGGAGAGTTTAAGATGTATGAGGTTGCAAATTCTTTTCTGTTTAAGTAAAGTTCAAACAAACACGGGATCCGATTAAACAACCTGCCTTCTCTCAGCCCGAGGCTAGCATTCCTGCCCAGACTGACCAACTTAATCTGGTTGGTATTAATGCTCCTATGTGGTCTGTCTCATTAATCCCAATAAGCATCATGCGCACACTTGCTAACTCAAAAGCAATTTGAGAAACATTACTACTACATGACTCCTATTAATTTCTGTGCTGCTGTTGCAAAAATGTCCCATTTTTTTTAAACAGGTGCACTTAAATGTCCCTGTCTCTGCTACATACGTGTTTGTTTGTTTTTAATCCAGCTCTCTCATTTTTTAGCATTATAGCATCTATTGAGACAATAATAAACATAGGAAACAACAATAAACACAGAAACTGACTATCACTATCAGCACTTGTGATCCCACTGGTGATGTCACTGCACATATCCCAGATTGCCACCATTACATTACTACTGTTACTACTGTTATGTATGTAATGTAACGTTGTATTGGTTTTATTGCCCGTGGCATCCTGCAGTTAGAGACTAGTTAAAGAGGGACCTCTGAAAAATGTCACACACAGTTTGTTACCTTTGCCAAAGATCTTGTAGCTGCTGTGATGAACCGATAGAGAGGAACAGACAAAACCTGACTTTTGCTCATTGCATCATTCACAGAACCTGCGGCTCATGACGCTGTAATAAAAAAATAATGAGCCAAGTCATTTTCACACAGTTTTTCATTTTTTTATCGACTCCTGGTGATCCTAGAAATAGGACAGGATTCCTCTACAGAGATTTACAGATGTGGGTAAAAGGGGAGACGATGTGCTGCAGATGATGCTCAACAGGAAAGCAGACAAAGTCATCAAAGCAGACCTTTTTCTTAAGAATCTGCTGTAGTGGAATATTTATTCATTCTTTCTCTAAACTGAAAGCATTTTGAAATTGTTTGATATTATTATATTGAAATATGAGGGAGCCTCCTGCTGGCAGATGCATGCATCCCAGCAATGGTGAAACTCGTCACATAGAGAGGATTTATCAGAACCTCTTGACAGCAAATATAGGGAATTGTAACATTCATAATATACATATCAGAACTTTTTGTTTGACATAAATGCTAATGATGTCTTGATAAATTGGCCTGTTCGCTGGATTTGCTAATTCCTCTGAAAGCTATTAGACGCTTCACTTTGTAAGTGCTTGCTTTTGCAGTTTGTTTTCATATAGAGGCCTATTACAAACCCCGGCACTCATGATAGAAAACTGTCGATTTTGCAGTGTTAAAAATAATTGATTCAAAATCGCCCGGCTGCTGCATGCAAAAACAGCAGGATCAGCTGGTTAGTAAACAGCGAGCAGAAGCCAAAACTTATCCAGCTGCAGTGGCCCAACGAAGTGAGGTGTCAGCAAGAGTCCGAAGATACAGAGTGATAAAGCAGAGTAAAAGGGAGAGGAGGAAGAGCTGCAGGGAAGGAGAAGCAGATAACAGAGGAAGAAAAGGATACGAGATAAGATAGGCAAGGAAGCAGGGAAGGAAAATGAGGGGAAAAGAAGCAGAGGTAACTTTTTAAGAGATAGAACAAAAAAGGGGGGAAGTGAAGGTGAAAAGAACCGAGAAGAGAAAGTATAGATATGAGAGAATAAAATGAGAAAGCATTGAGAAGGAGGACAATGCAGGAAGCAGTAAATAGTTCAAGAAGAACTATATGTCAAACAACAGAGGAGGAGAAGCAGTGAAAATGCAGAAAAAGATGTAGGGGGTGGCAGAAAAAGAAGGTAAAAGGTGTGTAGTCGAGACAGTGGAAGGAGACATGATCGAGAAATGGCACAATGCTGAAAATCAGAGACCGAAAAAGACGAAGTAGGTGGAGAAAAAGAACAGAGTGGAAGAAGAGGAGGAAGGGAATTCACACCAATGAGGCCCGATCTGTCAAAACTAACAGCCTTAACAGGGAGGGAGAAAGATGCTGGCAGAGTTGAGCCAGTACCGAAGGGTGGGAGATTGAAAGATAAAAATAGGATCCGGCATCCTTCTGATTTATCTAACATCCAAATCCAT